GCCACCAGGGAAGGCCACCGTCAAGCTATTTTTGAAGGATTTATTTATGTATAAAAGAACTAGGGTACAGGCCAGAGGTGTGGGATGGAGAGAGAGGATTCATCAGAGACAGAGTGGGAAACAGCTGGCATATAGACTGAAATACACTGCTGAGGGAAGCAGTGGACTGGACAGGAGAGGTCTGCCATGCCCTTTGGGGTCAGCTCCCTGGCCACAGATGGAACTGGTGCCTCAATGGCTTTGGATAGCTTCATAGTGCTGCGCTTTAACCCATTGTGCCACCAGGTCGAGCCCCCCAGGCTAATTAACTTCTAATTAAGTCATTCACATAGTTTTCTTGTAGTGAAAACATAAAAGATTTATTCTCTGCAAATTTATAGTAGTATTAACTATATTCAGCATGCTGTACATTAGATCTCCATAAATGAAATATCAGTTCTTTAATATCTTTCCATTTTGCCTGCCTCCTCAAAAGGTGGCAACCAACATTCTACTTTCTACTTTTATGAGTTCAACTTTTTTAGATTCCACATGTAAGTGAAATCATACAGTATTTGTCTTTCTGTGTTTGGCTTATTTCACTTAGCATAAGATTTTCAGGTTCGTTCATGTTTCAGATGACAGGGTTTTCTTTTTATAATAATATATTCAGCTTTAAAATATTGACACATTTACATATACACAGTAACCAACCATGTGTATGTTTGTGTGTGTGTGTGTGTGTACCACACTTTCTCCATCCATTAATTCATCAGCAGACACTTAGGTTGAATCCATATCTTGGCTATCATCACTTCTGTATTCAAGTTATATGAAGAAAATAAAATATTTTCATTTTAGTATCAAATATTAAAAAAACAGGTATTGGGGAATGTACACATTTCTCTTTGAGTTGTTGATAATCTAACATACCCCGAACTACATCCTAAAAAAAGTAAACCTGGTTTTGGACTAGATTGCTTAATTATCATTACATATTCAACTAGTCTTTAAACATATTTTTTTATATTGTGCCCATTTATGAGGCGCTTGAAGTGATTTACCCTAAAGCAAAGTCCTCCTAACTTCACATAGAGAAATTTTTTTTTTTAAAGATTTATTTATTCATATAGAATTGGGGTACAGGCCAGAGATGCAGAGGGTGAGAGGATTCACCAGAGACAGAGTGGGGAGCAGAACAGGCAGATCTACGAAGTACACTGCTGAGGGGAGCAGCGGGCGGGTCAGGAGAGGTCTGCTGTGCCATGTGGTCACCTCCGGGGCAGGCGGGAATCGAACTCATGCGGAAGTGGCTTTAGATTCTCAGTGCTGTGCTTTAACCCGCTGCGCCACCAGGGAGGGCCACATAAGAGAAAATTTAAGGAATCTTCTTGCAACATCTTCTATTTCAAATGAATTAATCTTATTTAATTGAATAACTTGTCCAGCACAATACTGAAAGTATAAATGAAAAGTACAATGTATTAAGACTGTTCTCAAATTCAGTATTTCTGAACTAGCACTTGAAAAGTGTATAATGTTAAGCATTTTAAGTCTATCTCAAATGCAGTTGTTGAGTGATTTTAATATTTAAAGTCTAAAATATGTCAAAGTTTTCTTCCTTTCTTACTTGAAGTTACAGTAACTTCAGCTTCCTGCAGCACAAGATTCACTGAGATAATATTTGAGAATGGAAAGAAAGCTACAAGTTTTCTCTCCTTATGTTTACTTACTCATTAAGTTTAGTTGACATTGAAAAGAAAGTCTGGGTTTCTGGAGAAAATCTTGGGAGTTGCCATTGTCTAAAATTAATCCTAAATCCTTCGACAAATAAATGATCCTTTGCAGAAAGTTTTCAGATACTATGGAAAGTGGTGTTAACATACTATACTCTTCAGTGAATCTTCACTCTTTCTACCAAAGAACTGCTCAACTTTTTTTTTTACAACATGTTGGGTGGTTCCTATTTTTAAAATTCTTGGTATGTGGATAATCTAAATTTTACATTTGAAATATATCAACAGATTTATAGAATGTGAAGGATAGTGCACAACTTTAATATTCATTAATACTTTTATTTTAGATGTTATTTATTTATTTTTGCATAGAAGAGCTCGAGTGTGGGCCAGAGGTGAGGGGAAGGGGAATCCTATGGTGAGAGGATTCACCAAAAACAGAATGGTGAGAGGGCTAGCAGATTTACTGAAATACACTGTGTAATTTGTGGGTTAGCTCTTTGGTAGGGCATGGAACAGAACCTGTGGTGGGCAGTCCCTGTGATAGCACTGAGATCTCATCCCTAGACCATCAGTGAGGCCCCTTAACACTTAAAACAACAACAACAACAAAACAAGCTGTTTCTAACCCCCAAAGGTAAACATCTCATTAATTCACATATTTCATAGAAATTCCTCAATAATTGTCTTCCCTTTATTCCCTACCAATACACACAAGGAATCTTCTCTATATAATTAACATCTACACCAGTTAGCAAATGTAAACATCACAGACTTGACACAAATTATTTGCCAAGCCAAACAGAAATTTATCTTTCCTTTCCCTCCTTTTCCTTCATCTACCAATTAGTTTCTATGCTTTAATTTCAGAGCCTTTCTCCTAGATTTTGTCAAAATTAAATTAGGAAGCTGGGATATTATTCTTCAACACTTCCTAGAACTACCTTCATTTTTAGGCTAAAATTAAAAGGTACTTCTTTTTGGTTGAATTCTAGCATCTAATACAATAATGTTTAGTATCCAGAATCTCTAATAGGGAATTTGAAAAGATTAATCATTTCATTTGATTTAATTTTTTTGTATTAAGATTTAATGTAAAATTGTCAAATACTATTCTCTTACTACTGGTGCTGTCTGATTTTGTTAAAGGTTTAATATAATCTTTTAAAAGTTTGTTTTCATAAATCATCTGAATGACGGACTAGCTTTTAAGTGTTGCCTTTTTCCTTGTCCATACTAAAATCATTGAGTGTTCTAATTACACATAACACTAAAGAAAAACCTGTCTACCACTTTTAAAAACAAACTGTGAATGTGAAAATGTCTTCTGATGTGACTGCTTTATAAAGCTCAATAAAGCAGTTTTAATCCAGAAGCCCTGACCTAAATGTTTTTCTGATAAAAAGCATTCAACAGCAAATGATTTTATTTTACCTCAATCTGACAACATAATATATAAAATCACAAATGGATTATGTTGCCAAGATTTTATTTTACTAATTACTGTTAGGTAATACCCTATTTTAGAAATGTTAAGCAAACACTGGTATTTAGAGAAAACTGGTGAATTAGAGCAATAAACTAAAATAAATTGGAGGAGATACTAATTTTAAGAAAAACAAACTGGAATGAAATTTTTTTTCTTAAAGAACAAATAGTATTGCTAAGAAATTGAAATTGCTTTTGAAAAGCAACATTAAACTGAAATGTATTGATATAATATGAAGCAATGAGGGAAAATCACCCATTTTAATAATAGCTACAGTGAATGTAAGAATTTAATAAAATCTAAAATGTTAACTAAATAGAATGTCCATTGTTTTGATTTGGGACTTAGTTTTGGTCAGATTATAATTAGTGATTGTATATTATAATTTCTTCTAGTTTTGAATTTATTGACATTTAGCTTTAGAGTACTCTAGGTATGATGAAATTTTTTTTTATTCTGAACAATACAATTAACAACATGTTCTTAACTGTTCACTTTTAAATGTCAAACTATATGCAATACCAGTGTAGGCCACAGGGTGGGAGTGAAAGGCAAGAACTTGTTTTGAAGTAGCTTAAATATGTAATTATACTTTCTTTGAAATACTTGTTAAATGCTTAAGAACTGTATGACTTTCTTCCTCTAATAAAGCTATATTTCTCAGCAAAGAATCTTTAACAAAATATAAAGACATTGATTTAAAGGTATAGTCCAATTATGGGAAATAAGTAAATGGACATGATTCCCCCCACCCCCCAAAGCTTCTGATCATATCAGGTACTCAGTGACCAGATTAGCAGTTTTGATCACCTGTTAAAATTGAGGAACTTCCTTGAATTATAATACTGAAAATAGTTGAAGAAGTTACCAGAAATATTCCATGTTTTTGTCCTGTTTTCTGCCTTTTTCTTTTTTCCTGATCTCACTTAAAGGGGAAAAAAAATCTGTAGCACATTATATTTATTTGTGAGCTGTCTAAACTTATTTTTCAATAAAATAAATTTTATATTATGTTTTCTGTTAACCTGTTCTTATTTGAGTTTAGAAGCAATTTAATATGGTAATCATCTTGTATCTTTTAAGGTCAGAAGACAAGAGGTTTCTTCTCCTAGGAAAGAAACTTCATCAAGGAGTCTTGGCATTCCTTTATTCCATGAAAGGTAGTTCTCCATCCTTTTTTGCCAGCTCTAAAAATCTTAAGTATTGAAATATATTTACTTAATTTTAAATTTTAGCAGTTATATAAAAAAAAAACCAGCCTTTTAGAATTAGAAGAGACCAATTCTAGATTCCTCCATGCTATAATGACCTGACTACATCATACAGTTATTAGCTGAAATGAATCTAAACCCTGAATTCTCTAAAACTGAAATAGACCCAGTATTGTGGTTACATTGATATATACGAATTAATCTTAATGTGAACCTATCAAAGTGAGTGCTATTTAGTTTTATTTAAGATCTTTATAGAAAACAAAGATCAGTGCATTGGAATTTCTAATATGCTTTAGAAAGAGACAACCAGCAAAAGTGTGAAATATGAATAAGTAGATAAGCTAGTCTCTAATTTATGTATCAGAACTTTTCATTCATCACTATTTTATACCTCATTCTCCATTCAGTAGAGTTGTTTGAAGACATTTTGTTGAAATTCAAAATAATTTTTTTAGCTTTAACATTTCAATAATTATTTTGTAGTTTTAAGATTTTAGTAGCACTTAAAAGTACTTAAAAGGAACTATATAAGTTTTAAGATTTTAAAAATATTTGAAGGATAGTCTATATTTTAAAATCTTCTTTTGTTTTACTTTTAGGGGATATATAGAGAAGACATTCAGGGATCTGAAAGAAGAATTTCATAGAATATGCATGCTAGCAAAAGCACAAAAAGATCACTTAAGCAAACTGAATGTACCAGTTACTGCAACTGGTAAGATTTGATTTAATGTACAGTAATGTTAATTTTATTGGTTGAGATTGATTTGTCTTATTAAATATTAATTTATATATGTTTGTAAGTGATTGTGAAGTTGAACAATCGTGTAAGAGCTAAATAAAATTATAACATCAGGTTTGTTTTTAACTTCTTCACTTTAATTAAGCACCATGAAGAGATTATTGTAATTTGGTTGAAGAAATAAACATTTCCAATTTCATGAGGCTAATTCTGTGGGTGGCACAAAGTACACATACAGTATAAAATATAACTTAAAAGGAACATCTGTTTTACACATGTGTTGTGGTATGTTTTTTAAAAGCTCCACCTTTCCTTCAAACTCCAGATTGGCTTCCTGGTATTTGCTTCAGTAGTTTGATATGAATAGCAAAATACTATGGATGGAATCTGGCTACCAGTCACTCCTATAAACAAAAGGAAGGTAAACTGATCATTTATAGTAATAAATTCTCCTTTATCCTTGTAATTTGTGATATTCTGCATACAGTTCCCAAGAGATGTGATTTACAGTTTCGCTCTGAAAGATGTTGTAGCAGTGCTGACTATGACCCCTTTAAGTAAAGATCACTTTACATTTCTTGCAACTCATATCTACACTCTTTTTAAATGTCTTAATATTGCAAATTGACTTTTTGCTTATTGTTACCATTTTATTTTCAGGAAAAGCACATGGTGTGGTACTAGAGAAGCAAAACAAGCTTTGTGATTCGACATAGTTTATTTCCCCTCCCTTTTGCCTACCTCCACAAAAAAGAACTCTGATTTTCCCACCTCAATTTTTAGATTTTCATGAGTGATGTAGCTTCTCTGAAAACGAAAGGCACTGGTATCTTTTCAAGTAAAGAATTATTTTTATTAAAAACACTAGCTATAAAATGTAGTGCCTAGAATTCATAAACATGCTTTTTTGAACATCAGCATCTTATCAAAACATTGTAATGGTGATAATACTCATTGTTACACAGAGAACCTACCCCATTATCAGTGGCTTAATACTTTGACCATTTTTAAATTGCACAGGTCTAATTCTGTGTGTGTATGTGTCAGCTAAAACACTGAGTGTTTAACTTCAATTTTTCCCACTAAAACTGCTTTCTACCGTTCTTATGCTTTACTAATTACAAACATTGTTCTTGAAATGTTTCAGATTTGTTGTGCTATAGACTCCAGTGATGTTTTGCTGGGTTCAAACAGAAATTAAAACATCAAATATATTCTGGCAGGGTGGATCAAAGGTGAAAGGAAAAAAAAATTATTTTGAGGAAAAGTACTTATTCAGGATTTTTAAGGATGAATGCTACATTGAATTAAAATATAGAGGAACAATTTCAGATGTGTTTTACATGATACATCTGGAAACAGTATGTTTGGCTTTATTGTACCTAGGTTAACTTTTTGTTAGAATTTAATTTTCATTTTTAAATAAATAGCTACAATTCATGAAAATTGTTGAATTGGTGAAATGGTATGTTTCCTTTTTATTTCTTTTTTTCTTCTCATCTTCATATGGCAATAGCCTTAAGAAGGGATAAAGATAAAAATGTATGAATAAATGTGACTTCATAAAATTAATAATTGGTTGATAAAATAAACACCTGTTTCATTGGAGATCAGGAGAAAGCCTATATGATTAAAGGTAACAAACCATCAAATCTCTTTGCAAGGTAATTAAATTGAGAAGTGGTCTGAAAGGGTAGTCTGTCCTTAAAATTTAGAAATCTAAAAATCTTTCTCATTTTCACTGCAAAAATAAGTGTTCTTGAAATATACAAAATAGAAAAGCAACTTGCTCACCTGATCATGTTTCTCAATTAGTGTGAGGATGACAACTGTTTCCTTGCACCTCATTTGAATTTTAATTTCCTAACCTTGGTTTTCTAGTAGTCTTATGTCTAAATCTTTTTTTTTTTTTAAGTAAATAGTAGTTTCCATTGCTTGAGCAAATAATTCAAGAGATTGTTTTAAGATAGTTGTTTTAGTATGCCAGCTACCTATACTGAAAAGAAAATTCCAGCTGTTTGGTTCCATTTTGTTTATACAGTGAATAGGTTAGCTATTGGAAAAGAAATTCAGGACAAGTTTCTGTCATTTTTAGAACTCTCCTCTGTATAGAAACCAGCATGTTTAATTTACATGAGATTTCAAAGCTCAGGCTCTGTAGAGTTAAACTGCTGGATTCCAGTGCCATATCTACCATTCATTCATTCATTCATTAGCTATGTAGCCTTGGAATTAACTTCTCTATGTCTCAGTTTCTTCTCTTATAAGGTGGGAATGGATAACAGTACCTACCATGGGATTTTTTTTTAAATCATGGGAGTTTTTTAAAATATTAAATTAATTCATGTACATACAATGATTAGAACAATGTGTAGCACATACAAATGCAATTAATATTAATAATTGTAGTTAGCATCAGCAAATTTTTCAGTAGTCATCCTGTTCTGTGAAGATCATTTTGATAAGTGTTTCCTCCTCAGCTATCACAGAATTTGGTTACCTCAACAGTTGATTTTTCTAATTTGCAGTTAACAAATCTACACTACAAAAAAAGTTACTGTTTCCTAGAATTTCCTGCCACTCTTAAGCTACCTGGAAAAATGATTACTTAAGGATGAATGAATTTTAGAAGCTCAGAGTACAAAGAAATCCTGCTCAACAATGAAACTCATTTCAGTTACTCTACCACTCCTAGTTAAAGCCAGATTATCTAGTAAATGTAGATTATTTAAAACTAGGCTCTGTGGGGAAGAGAATACAGATTCTTTGACATTTATTGAGGGCACACTATGTGCTAGGTGCTAGGCAAGGTACTGTAAATCACTGCAAAACAAAACATAGTTTAGGACTTAAAGAAACCTCATCTAATGGGAGTCCTTGGGAGTCTTTACAGCACCATACCAAAGAGTCATACATAAATCTGTCTTGAGCCAGAGAGAGCTGTACAGAGAAATAAATGTTTAAACCAAAATACAACGACTAATTAAGAATTATGCAAAGAATAGTCATAGGGACACTGTGGCAGTCTGCACAACATGTGCAAAGACCTAAAAACAAGCATGGCTACTGGACGCAAGAGTGTGAAGCAGGGGTGAAGGATGACAGTTTGGAAAGGTGACCAATGACCAATCAAGAGCAGTTTTACATGACTTTTCTGAAGCCTGAGAGCCTTGAAGAACCATTAAAGATTTTATTAGGAAGGTAACATGACCAGATTTGTATTTTAGAAAAGTTTGGGGCATGAAGAGGAAAACTGGTATAGAGAATGCATTGGTTCTGAGAATTTAATGGCAAAGAAATAGTCAAAGGCAGAAATAGTTCAAAGGCTGTTGTAAATATCCAGTAAGAGATGATGTTGCTAAAACAAGGCAATAGGGTATAGAAAATGATGAAACAAAGAAGTTGGTTGTATTGTACTATAGATAGGTCCAAAAAGAAAAATCCCTTGTGTTGGAAAGTGCTGTGGCAAAAGATGGAAAGGTGTTATAAGACTGCAAAGACCAGGATAGGGAAAGGAACTGGCATTTGTTAAATGCCTGCTAATCTAGACAGACACTGCAAGGTGTTCCATATGTATACCCTGTTTGCTTTAATCTGCATTATTGGTAACCAGGTCTCCATTTGTGAATAGAAAGCTTTACTGGACTACCTTTTAAAGAGCTAATTTTTTTAAATGTTTATAATTTGTTCACTTATCAAAAATACAACATTACCAACCATCAATCATCAAACCTTCTTGAGGTGGCATTATGCTCATAATTTAGTTTGGTCACAGCAACAAGGCAAAGAGTGCTTTGATCACTGGTTTGAAATTTTTGCATTGAGAAATGTAGCCCTTGTTGATCCCACACTAGACAATAGTGATTTTCTTAAGTTCTCGTATCTGTTTTTTTCTTTTAATTTTTATCTGCTCTCATGCTTTCAAAAGGTTTTGTTCCTACCAATACTTGCTTTCAACATTTCATAACCATACTTTACCGTTTGCTGCTGTAACCAGCTATAAACTACGGAAACATCTCAGGAGCCTTAGGATAAATTTAAAATGAGAATAAGAGAGCAAAAATCATGTGTCTACCGACTTTGTGGCTCCAGTTAGCCTCATCAGGAGCTCTATATACTTATTTTCTAGTATTTGCCTATTTGTGGAGAGCTGAATTTGTTGTCTAAATAAATGATAAAATGAACTACTAAGACCCTGACATCTTACCATTTTCTACAAAGGCTGTTTATTTATTTGTATAAATGTATATGTACATATACATGATGAGAAAAGTATACATTCACATACAGTTTTCTGAACATGAATCTCAAAAATTCACCCTTTTTTTTTTTTACCTCTGCTGTCGTCTTGTCTCTAACTCTCACCACCATCATTTCCTCACATGGATTATCGAGAGTAGGAAATAGCTAATTTGACTAGTGATAGACATTATCATATAGTGATAGTAGAGGGAATAAATTGTGTAATTCCTATAGATTTTTAACATATATAATGTATATATGTCAACTAAGGATTTTTCCCTTATTTGTCTAAGCAAGCTCACAGTTGCAGCCTCCATTACTGACAAAATGTTTCAATGTATATATACTACAAGCAATTTTTTTTTAAGTGTAAAACAGTATAACTGTGAACAAGATGCAAAGCTACAGCAAAAGACATAGGAAAAGGCAAAGTAGTTAAATTGCAGCTAATAAGCTACATTCCAATTCACCCACAGGAGACTGTTAGTATTTCTGCATGAGCTGGTTACTAAAGTAAAAAAAATCCTAATTTTCTTAAGTTGCTATAAAAACCATCTTGCTGACTTAACAGTAAGATTTTTAAGAATGATTGGAATATGACTGCTTTCCTTTTGTGTTTCTTTCCCTGCAGAAACACAGTGTTCTGTGCCTATACAGTGTACAGATAAAACAGATAAACAAGACGCATTGTTCAAGCCTCAGACTAAAGATGATATAAATAGAGGTGCACCATGTATCACATCTGTCACACCAAGAGGACTGGGTCAAGATGAAGAGGATACTTCTTTTGAATCACTTTCTAAATTCAATGTCAAGTTCCCACCTATGGACAGTGACTCCACATTCTTACATAGCACTCCAGAAAGACCCAATGTTCTTTTTCCTGCTACAACTGAGGCTGTGTGTCAGGATAAATTTAATATGGAACTCAGAGACAACCCAGCAAACTTTGTTAAAACAGCAGAAACTTTATTTGATATTCAGGGAATTGACCCCATAGCTTCAGCGATACAAAATCTTAAAACAACTAACAAAGCAAAACCTTCAAATCTTGTAAATGCTTGTATTGGGACAACTCTGGATAGAGCTGCATGTTTGCCACCTGGAGACCATAATGCGTTATATATAAATACATACCCACTTCGAGACCCGTCTGGTACACCTTTTCCTTCACTTGATTCCCCAGGAAAAGCTATCCGAGGACCACAGCAGGTAACTGGTTTGCATTAACAAATATGTTATGTGTGAGCACGCATTTTACTCTTCATGCACAGATACGCATCCCCTTTAAGGAATTGAACATCCTTTTTAAACTAATAACCAGTCAGCCAAAGCTTAAGCTTTAAGTGAGAAATTCAAGTTCTCTTGTAAATAGCATGAAGTAAAAGATGTCCTCTAATTCAAGTCCTCTAATAAATAAAATGAAATAAAAGATATGATAAAGCTCTATTATATATAAGTACCTTAAAATTTATGATACTTTAAAATTTATGCTGCTTTAGTCATATCTGTTGTGTGTCACTTCCTTAGTCCCTTTTTCAAAGCTTTTTTTGTTCGACATCAATATTGTAATATGATTCTTCATTAAATTTCATTCTATAACAATAACATTTTTAATTAAGTTTGTTTATATTATACTCATATTCATGAAAATGCATGATTTCCCCCAAGTAAATAATTGCATTGCATATGCCTGTTTATCAATAAGTGAATTGTCTTTTTTATGAATACTTTTTTATGAAAATTACATTTTTGTTACACAGTGCTTATAGATCTGTAGGTTTCAGTTTTGGTTTCTAAGGTGGCATTAAATAGACAACAGAATGTATTTTTAAATAGTTTCTGCATATGTGTATTTTTAGACAAATACACTAATGTTTTTAAAGCTCACAGACTACTTAAGAGTCCCCCAGTCCACTCCTATCCTCCTTTATACAAGTTCTATCAAAGAATTCGTAGTTTAACAAAAAAAAAAATTTTAATGCCTGAAGGCAAATAAAAAATATATAATTGCTAAAGTAAACAGAAGTGTGTGAAAATACAGATTGATGCTCATGTCTAACTTGCAAACATTTGTTTGATTTCTCTTTGCCTTGAGAAATTTGATTTACTTTAAAAAAAACTGAACAACTTGATGAATACCCTTTGGTTTTATAAGTACTCTTCTAAGTCAGAGTTTTAAATCAGCATACAAAGGAAACAGTAGTCAAGCTGTGGTATGTTTTAGTAGTAGGGAAAAACCAGGCATTTCTGACAAAACGCTTTAATTATGAGCTCATTTATGTTCACATTGTACCTTATTTCACATCATAGTCTGTGTTATAGGTACCACTAACTGAAACAAATTAAACAATTTCATTTATTGCAAGTAGAATTCCTGTGGAGCCGTGAAGTGCATCAGTTCTAATGCTTGTTACTTTTTTCTCCATTATATTTCTTGCTTGTTCTTTTACTAGTTAGTCTGTGCATTCATGTTTCAGTAGATGGCACCCTGCATTGTGCATTTGCTTTCCCTTGCTACCGCAAGGGAAACAGCTGGTATGTGATTACAACTTGATGGAAAAGTATTCAGCTTAAAAAATGCAGAATTGGTGTTGAGCTGTCACAAGACATGGGGCATAAGGTTAGATAATTGATATTTTGGCAGAAAAAGCAAAGAAATTAGTTTATTTTGAAGACTATGTTACAGTTTAGGATTGAAAGAATTTTTCTTAAAATTGGTTCTTAAAAACATTTCACAATTTTATTTGTACTAGTAAAGCTAGTATAAATATAGCATTCTTGAGTTAATAAAAAATTAAATTTTTATTTTAAATTTTTAGTTCATATAAGCACTACTGGTTAATACTTTTTTTATATATTCAACTATCATAACAAAGTAAAAAGTTAACTTTATATTTTTGTTCTTTGTGATTTTCTCTTCTTCTTGTTTTTGCTGAGTCAGTGATGGGTCCCAAGTGAATTCAACCAAGAGATCAAATCTAAATAACTACTAATAGAGAAAAACAAATATGGACATTGAACATAAATAACAAAAGATCGTCTCACCAAGTTTAGAAACTAAGTTGCTTCTAATAGAATCTATAGATTCTGTATATCTTAAGAATTATCTTGAATATAGTAATTATCTATCTCTACATCCCATTAGAGTGGTACATGTTAATGTACTTTTTGTTTAAACTGCAAGAAGTAAAAATTTAAGTCATGTTAGATTTTTGCTTATATTACAAGTACTACTGCTTTATCATGAAACCCCAGATTTCAAAAAATCTTTTAAATATTACTATTTTGTGATAAAATTACTACTCATTATAAAAGATAGTTAATATTTTTGTCACTGATATTTGACTATATCTTAGTACCTAGAGAGACTTAGTATATTTACACCAACTTCACAGCTGTCCACTAAGTTGTTTATAAGAAGACAGTGATGTTGTGAGACCCAAATACTTCAATTAGTAATATGCTATTTATGTAAATGATTGGTTAACTAAAGTAAATGAAGAAAATAAAAGCTAATGTTGTATCAGGTATTAAACTAAGCTGTTACTTTAAAAACATATTAGTAATAGGAAAGCAAAAGGTCTCTTTTAATTGATTTGGGGAGTAGATTTTCCTGAGTACAGAAATAGCTATTTATTTGTATCAAAATAAAAAAGCAAATGTAAAAAATAATATCAGGAAAATAAGATATTCCAGAATATTTATTGAGCACCTACTACTGAACTAAATGCTTTTTCTTGCCCTTCTGGATGTTTTCTTTAAAAAAGGCTATTTTAAGGGTATATATATACTACTTATATTGTTTACAATGGGCATAATTCTTTTGAATTATAATTTTTCCAACAATTTTTAGTTGGGCAACCACTGACAGGTTTCACTTCATTCAGCTTCAGAAAGAGTACATAAAGCCAAGCCATGCATTCTTGTTCCAAGAGCAAAATAAGTGAAAAAAATTGCATCAGTGTTAGAGTCTGTTGAATGGCTAGTTTAATTACTTAAGATAAAAAAAGAAAATACTGATCGATGAAATTCTAGTACTTTAGAAGAAAAAAAACTCTTTAAAATGAAAACACTTAATCCTATATGATTATTCATTTGCTTATAGTAGTGAAATTTATTCTCAATTAAAATGCATGCAGACACTAATACTAATCATGTATTAGTAAAGTCCTTATGACTTACAAGTTTTCTCTTATAAATGGAAAAAAGTTTAATTTTTATAAAGGCTGTTACTAACTATTGTCCCTAAATATTATTCCAAAATTATGTAATATTGGGATACTAAAATTTTCTAATGTTTAAGCTGAAAGATTTTTAAATATGTGAAGATAAAGTACATGTATGTGTACTTTAAGTGATTTTTAATCAAAGTTTAATGTTCCCTTTATGAAACAGTCGTATCCTCTTTCTAACTCTATAGAAGAATTTGCTTTTCTGTTAGGGAATTTCACACATATGCATATAATTCACTCAGAATTTTTCAATTTGGTGTTCAGTGCAAGTTGATAAATACAAATAACAAAAGATGTTTTTGTTTTGTTTTCTGCAGCCCCTTTGGAAGCCCTTTCCTAATCAAGACAGTGACTTACCGGTACTAAATGGCACAGACTCAGAACTGCATATACCTAGAGTATGTGAATTCTGTCAAGCAGTTTTCCCACCATCTATTACATCCAGGGGGGATTTCCTCAGGCACCTTAATTCACATTTTAATGGGGAGACTTAAAATACATTTGAATACAGACATGAAACGGTATGATGATGTTGGGTTTGTAAAACTATGTATGATTGCAAACTTAGTTCAAGATAATTTATTGAAAAATCTAGTCACAGCTGTTTGAATTTTTTTTCTAAACTTACATTGTAACTTTTTTTATTATCTCTTAAAACATCACTGCTTCAGAACTGTTTCATTGTATTCATATTTACAGAGTTTACCTTAATTCAGAATTTAAAAGTGATTTACAGACTTTGCTTCAAATGTCTAAGCTTAACACTTGGACTTCTAAATTTCTATTGAATTTTGGGATGTCAAAATTTATAGGGATTACTGAATTGTATTCATTTAAAATTTTAGATTATTTATGCTATTGGTGATATTCTCTTTGAATAGTATAGTAGGGAATAGCAGACAGCATAAACATCTAAGTATATACCAAAACTAACATATTTGTTGCCCAGTGATAAAATCACTGGTACAGTCGTTTAAACACTTAGGTTAATTTTTAATAAAACATGGTTTTAATTTTTCTATGTGTATAGCTATGTGATGAAATCATTTAGATAGTAAAAGAATTATCTGTGTTGTGATCATTGATGTGTTCTTTGTTCCTGAGTAAAAATAAAGGTGATCATATTTGGGGGAAGTTTATAAAATCCATGTTTTCTTTGATAACAAAGGTTAAATACCAAACCTGGTGATACGTCATTACAACCAATGCATCACTTCGAATTTTAAAATGATTTTTCAAACTAAACTTGCCAACAAAACGTTTGCATTTATTGGGAGCAAATCTAAAACCTTATTAAAATCTAGCCATACTTATTGTTACACCAGAAATGTTCACATTCTTGTCTGAAAAATTTGTTGTTAGCAAGCAGCTTGGTTGATGACCTCTGAAGACACTTAAGAGATAAGATGCCAAGTTCAGAAGGCTTTCCTTTCATTTTTTCCCATGTGATTCTTACCTTTAGGGTTCTCTTTCCCTTGATTAAAAAAAAAAATGAGACACATGGCTTTTATTTTATGAAGTAAGCAGTGATTTGCAGCTCTCAGACATTTAAGCTTTCTTTGAAGCAAGTGTTGTTAAAAGCTAGAAGGTGTAGCATGGGAAAGTTGAGCAGGTCCCTGTGCCACAGTGGAGAGCCCTAACTTGTGGAAGAATGAGAGCAGTGCCTCGACTTCTCAAGGTGCCAAGCACATCATATTGACATCTTCCTCACCAAGGTGACATCGTGATTATTAGGCATTCACTGTGAAGGGTTCTGAGGCATGTACATCTTTCTTTCATTGCCACTGGGGCTGAATGGAAATGCCTAGACAATTACCCAAGTCTCTTCCCTCCCCACCCCACCCCCCACATCCCTCCCACCCATCCTCCCCTCTCACTCCTCCCCATCCACACATCCACATCAAAAATAAAAACTTCCCAGCATGTACCAGTCAGAATATACCACTGTACCTATCTTCTGAAAGGGGATTCTTTTTCCGCTGTCTTCTAGTAGAGGAAGAGTCCCTTCCCATGGTTGAGCTCTACTAGCTTGCTGACAGCCAAAGGAAATTATAGCCCAGAAAATGACTCAAAGTGTATAGCTGACCCCTCTTCTCCAGTTCACCCTTTTCCCACCTCGACCACTTATAGTAAGAGTGGGAAACTCTTGTTTTCTTTTGGGTTCCAGTGCTACTGGAAGCTGCAACTGTGGAGGCATAACAGCCTTGTTGGGCCACAGGGGAGGCGGTCTGGAGAACGAGCCCCTCTCCCACGCTTGCAGAGGTGGTGCTGGCTGCAGCTCGAAAGGTGGAGTGGGCACCCGCCAGGTCTCTCCCTCGGTCTGTTATTACAGAGTCGTGCTGGGGCTGCGTCTTGGCATCTGCTAAGCGTGACCGGGTAAGAACAGCTCCCAGGTAAAAAAGCTGCACAGGCGAAACGCTGAGTCTGAAAAAACCACCCCCGCCGAGGCGAGGCAGTTGTGAGCGGGATGCCTGAGAAGTGGGAGGTGAATGTCCTCGGGAGGGCCCCCCCAATGCAGCTTTCCCCGGAGGCTGAGGCTGCTGCCAGCGGGGACATCTGCTTTCTTACACTCCAGCCTGGCTCACCCCGCCCCCTCAGCCCCGGGTTGCGTGGTTATTTTACCAACACGGGGGAAGGGAGAGCTCGAGGAGGTAGAATAGGGGTGGATGGAAACTCAGATGTTCTTCCCACTCCCCAAAGTCCCCTTCTTTTTTCTTCACATCTTTTAACCTTCAAGGTAAAGACTACGAAAAGATGAGTGTCCGCGGGCTCGTAGGCCCGCCTCCGCGCGCGCGGCCCTCGGGTGCAGGGCCTCGCCCTTCTCGCCGTCCTCCTCCGAGTCGGGCCGGGTTTGGGTGATCGCCTGGCGCAGCGGCCGGCCGGGTGCGCTCAGCCCGTGGCGCCTTCTCTCTCGGGCTGCTGCCTCGACAGCTGCTTATAGCTACAGTAATTAGACTGTCAGTGCTTGTTAGAGGAGAGAGGGGAAAACACGCTTCTGACAGCAGATTCCGAGACTCCCCAGTTTGTTAATTTCTAAGAGATCTTTTAAAGCATTAATTGAGGTCTCCCCAACTCTCCCCTCCCGTCCCTCTCCCCAACTCCTCCCTTCCCCAAAATATCTTTAGGAGAAGAGAATTCTCCGCGTGGAAGCAGTGTTTCCCGCAAAACTGCAAGCCCGCCTCCAGCTCACGCACATGCACCCTGCTTTACATATACATCTATATGTACACACGTATACGCATAAGGTTAACGCGGCAGAGGCCTCATCCAAATAAGAACCAGGATTGCATTTAAAATAATAAATAAATAAATAAATAAATAAATAAATAAATAAATAAACCAGGAAGGAAGGAGGGGGAGGGAAGCAGAAGTCGGGAAGAAAAGAGAAAAGCAGCAGGCTGATTACGAGGTGTCAAAACTGCCAGGAGCAAGAAGGTGATAGCAATCAGGGGTGAGAAGAGTGCGGCATTCGTGCGGGGCAACTAATTATCCGTCTCATTTGAGAAGAGCAGCATTTGAGGCAGCAGCGTTCGCCTGCTGAACGGTGACAGATTGGCGCGGAGGAGAGGGGAGGTGTTAAAACAATGGAGCCGGGCGCGCGAGCGCTGCTGCATGCTAATCAGCCCTCCCTCCGCCTGCCTGCCGCGCTCCCTCCTTCCTCTCGGCCTCCCTCCTCCGCGCTCCCTCCTCCCGCCTGCGGCGCTCCCTCCTTTCCAGCGGACCCGCCGCCGCCGCCACCCGCATCCTCATCCCTCGCTTTCCCGCGCGTCCTTCCCGCCGCTGGCAAGTGAAACCCAGAGACGGGCACCGCGTCCCTCGAGGGACTAGAGCCCCTGAGCAGCCCCCCGCCACCCTCGGGTGGCCCGGCCGCTCACGCACCGCGGTGGAGCGCTACCTGGCGCCAGTGCGCCCCGTGCCCGGCCTGCGCGGAGCGCCCACTCTCGGGGCGCTTCTAGACAAATGAGACAAGGCCCGCATTCTCGTTTCCACGTATTGGACGCCCTGGAACCTGAATGCTCGCGTGTGTTCGCTTTGTGATAAACTGAACCCACTGGGCAGCGAGTGGAAAGCCAAGCGTTTTCAAGACGGACAAGGGACAGCCAAGGGTGGGGAGCAGTAGGGATCCTAAAGGAAAAGAATTCCCCTGGACGGACTACAGGTCCCCGACCCGGAGAGCTGTAGCGCCGCGGCGGACTAGGTCAGCCTCCAGGAAAGTCTCCACTGGTGGCCCCTCACTCCCCAGCCTGCGTCCCACCCACTATGCCTCAACCAAACCTTAACAATGTAAGAAGCACACAGAGGAAGACAAAAGAAAGGGCTTCAGTATTAGTTGCCCCTCCAAGACTTGACCTCTTGACCCCAAACTAGTCTAACGGGGCCTTCTGGACCCTCAGAGACACCCACCAGACTGTTTCCGGTAGATAAAAACAGTAAGAAACCTCCTCCCCAACCTTCTTCCGTGGAGACTTGGAGGTCAAGGGAAGGGTGTAGAGCGGGAGGGTTTCTGGAGAAATTCTGGCGGCTCAGCATCCAGGCCTCCAGTCAGCTCCGCTCAGTTCTCTAGTATAAGAGAAGCAGGTCAGAAACTTAGGGTCTTTGCTGCCCTTGGACAGAGAATACTCCAGAACCCAAGTCTCCAGTGAAAAGATCTATCAATACCTGTTGAAGCAGACCCTGGGCCTGAGGTTTTTGGTACAATTTTCTCCTACTTTTTGAGTTTAAAAGCCGATTGTTGAGTTTAAAGATTTTGCTTAGAACACACGTTTTATTCCTATATTTTTACTATTGCAGATTTACATAAACTACCCTTAGAGATTTAAAACCTTGAACCATTGACATCCTTATGGCCTAAGTAGTTTAAATAGAAAACAGCTACAAAGAATTTTAAGTAGGAATTTGGACTGAATATGAATGCAGTTCATTCTAAAGTGTTCTGTGTTACTGAACTAACCAGGTGTCTAAATTAACATAATAAAACTTCTACCCCCCCACCCCAGTGATAAAAAGGAAAGCAGCTGAAAAATAATCTATGCAGTATTTTTTTTCTGCTGGCCTTTAACAATGCATAACTTTATACATCCAATTGTTACTTTTTAAAAAATCCCTTTAAAATGTGAAGACTTGATAAAGCTGTCATATATACACAAGGGTCTCATTATTACTATTATCTCATGTTATTCTCTTTACCTTTCTCTGTCCTGTTTTACACCATAAAATAAAAATGACAAGTAGATTTGTCATTTATATCACCATTTATAGTGTCAACTGAAAAATTACACAAACACACAGAATGAGTCATTTTTCCATTTAGAATATACAAGGCATACCAATACAATAGCCGAATGCGAACTTGTTAGGACCTACTCAAACAATACAGAGTATTTACGAGTTTTAAAATTGAGAATTCTTAAAAGAGGATACAGACTCATGTGTTAATACTAATGCTTTTTTGATTTCTGATCTTTGGAAAACCACTAAGCAGGCTTCTCTGCCCCTGCTGCAATACAGACTTTTTAGTGTTCCAGTATTATTTGGCATTTGGAAAATTCCCTGGCTTCTGAATCTGTTAAAATAACAACCTAACAGTGGGGAAAAAATTTTACATTTATTAATGTAAACGTTAAGATTCAGATGCCCCATCAGCATCAAAATTAAGCAATTTATTAATTGTTTGTGAACCTTCACTGACCAATTCTGTGGAAGCAAAGTGTCTAAAACTATGAACCAACATAAAAATTTAGTGCAACTCCATGTTGTGTTTTGCATTCCTAATACATAACCAAGTCCTTTACCTTCCAACAACTTGGTCATTTTTAGTGTATTTTCTTCTCAGTCTATAGACTTCACAAATTTGCATCATTGTTTTAATTGTATTTACAGATAAGTTTTTATTTGCACATAAGGACAAAAAGGTGAAGTGAAATTTGTTCCCAACGGAAACCTATTAGGTTCCCTGAACATATGGCTCATTGGACTGTTACTTCCTTTTTGGAATTATTTTCCAAGATTTTTTAATATA